AGCCAGCTCGCACAGGAGGCGCCCAAAGCGGAGGGTTGGTCCATGTTGCAGTCAAGGTCCCCACAGGTTTGCATACATTCACTTGGCTGTGGGTCAAAATCAATGGTATCCCATTTTGGGGTAGGTGAATTCACCACCCATTTTAGCCGGGATTTTAGTGGTTGGATTGGGGAACGGGATTTTGACCCATGGCCACTTGTTCTCTTGAAGCTTGAACGGCGGGCGGCCTTTGCGCCACAAGGCTCAGTCCAATGCAAGCTTCCGACCTCTAGGATTGTCCATCTTGAGTCAAGGCCCCGAAAGTCGCTGGCCTGCGGTCTCATCTGGATTCGCCGCTTGAGGAAGTCAAGGCCCCGAAAGGTTTGCATTTTACTTCCTTGCAGTTTCTTTGGGTAGGTGAGAAGAACTTTCCCGCAGATATGAGAGTTAGCGCTTACTCATGAACGTGTTGCCAGCTGGGACTGTGAGGAGATGAAGGCCGCGCACGGCGGAGTCATACGAATGTTTGATTGATCGGAGGACCCTACAAATCTGAGGAATCCTCTCAAATGAAACCTTTCCCAAAAAGTGAGAACAACAAATCCAGAGAGAACCGGCTTTCCGGTGGTTGGTTAAACATGAAAAGGGCTTGCTTGGGTGGCAGGCGCCGCAAAAGTGAGCAAGCACATGACACCACGCACCCAGCGGCTGCTTCGCCAGCGGAGGTCGCAGCAGGGGAGGCACGGACAAAGGTCCTGCAGGACTGGCAGTTGGTGCCGTCATTTGGGTGCGGGTCAAAAATAGGTACCCAATGTAGAACCCTGGTATCATGGAAACATGGTCTAAAACCTGCGGTTCGCTGGTGGCTTAATTTTGACCCAGACCCATTCGTGCATGTTACTGGTAGTTTTCAGCACCCTCATGTCAACTTGCATCATTCTTGGAAAGAGGGTGAGGGAATTCGTCAGCGCGTAAACTAGTGTCCAAATTTGGTTGCAAGGCCTGGGCTAAAGGTTCCCCTCCAATGAGTACCTCGGAGGGCCCTGAACGATGTTTGGAGGCAATGCAGATGAGCTTTTGGGGAGTTGCACCCAACAATTACTGAAATCAGGGTTGCCCTGAGCCTCAACAAAAATGACCCAACCATGGTATGGGATGGCTCAGGGTCAATGTACAAGAGGAAAGGATTAATCCCTGCACCCATACAATACCAAGGGTATAAAACAACTTGGTATGGGATGAATCCTTTCCCCTTTTGTTCCAGGGACGTGGTTCCCTTGCTACCCTTGTGCACAAAGCCACTGGGAGCCACCCTGATACCGGGACCCAGGGCGTTTAACCACGTGAGGAGCAGCTGGAGTCGGCGGTCAGCATTTCCAGCGAGGGAGTGCCGCTTCGCTTGCAGTTCAGCCCGCGATCTGTGTTTCGCCCCCTCCTTTTGGAGGTTTTGAACGTCATGTTCAGGGGCCTTTTGGCTGGGGTGACGTCTAAAGGACAGGGAACCCTGCTCAGTTCGGTCGGGGTTTTGGCCGAGGGCATAGGAGTGACAAATACCTGGGTCTTCCATTTGGTCACTTTTTAGGGCTCTGGGCATTTTTTGCTGGTTTCAGATTTTGAGCGGAAAAACTAAAAATGAGCGGAAATCTTGATTTGGCATGATTTGGCAAGTTGTCTCCCAGAAAATGAGCGGAAATCGGCGGGAAATGAGCGGAAATGTGCGGACACGCACCAAACCACTTTCCAATTGAGCGTGTTCTTTCCAATTGAGCGTTTTTGGCTGAAATGAGCTTTATTTTTGCTCGAAACGGGAAAATCCAGAAAAAAGTGCCCACGGAAGACCCAGGTATATCGGGACCTGCCCCGCAATGGAATTGGATGAGATCCCCTTACACAGGCTGTTTGTTTCGATTGCCACTACGCGTTCTTCCCTAAAGTATGAAGTCCAGGACAGGAGCGAGCTTGACATATTCTCAAGATTGCAACCAACTGGGACAACCCCACAATCGAAATCCACCAGGTGCCTAAATGAGCTTTGACTCTAGAAAGCTGAGCTTGCAGCAATTCGATCCATGCTTGGACGAAGCACCGTTTGTTTAAGATACTCTGTTTCGCATGGGTCTTTGTGGCCATGCTTTCGTGCCCTTTTATTGGCACGCATCCGCTCCGTGTGGGTCGGAGAAATGAAAGGCTTGCCAGATCGCAAGCACATTTATTTTGGGCTGGTTTTCTCCAGTCTGTGTGCACGCTTGGCTTGAAGCCTGGATGAGTGTTGCTTTTGACCGGGTTAAAAACCGCTTTTCCCAGCCATACCCTTTGACTTTCAGAGTTTTGAATGATTAATGAACCCCAAGGCATGCTTCACTTGGGTTGCGCCCAGGCGGCCGCAGCTTGCTGAGCAAGAAGAGGCGAGCCGAGATGTTATGTGCGTGGTTTTTATTTGTAAGGCTTTGCTTTCTGGCTTTCTAGCATCATTGACGCATTCAACCAACAAGCGCTTTAGCTTGACACGCTGTTCCATGCAAACTCCGTTGAACACATGTGTTTAGTTTGCGACAAGCCTTCACCTTCCTGCCAGTCAGGGGCTCTTACTGTAGAGGTTGGCAGGAAGGTCAGGAAGACAGCCAGAGCGTCACTCACAGAAGGAGAACGCATCGAGGCTGACGACGTTTTAGGTCAGCACCGATTTACTTTGTAACTCAAGTTGATACGTTTATTGGTCTGAGGCTTGCTGCATCATGTCATGCGACCATGTTTTACCAGCAAATTATTTACTGAGTCTGGGCTACGTCAGATAATGTCTGCAAGTACTGACCCGGTTTCTTCCCTTTTCCCTCCATGTCTTATTCCTGCAGAACGGGTGGCACGAAAACCTGCAGAACCGGAGTGCCAGGCGTCGCTTTTCATGGAGCAGCAGTGTAAGTAACCAGTGCCTTCGGGGAGGTCCCAAGCCCCAGGATTCATTGAGAAGCACACACTGTGGATGGCCCGAATCCTGCACCATTCTGGGAATGGCATTTACAGAGGAATCATCGTTCCGGGGTTTCTTAGGTGAATATGTTACTTGATTCTTGACCCCAGCCTGGCGCTGCCAACTGTCAGGGTTCGATTGGCTTCAACAACAAACAAAAAACAAACAACTGCAAAATGCGCACGGCTCCCAATTCCTTTTTGCTTGTTGAAGCAATCACTAGTTTCTGGGCGACATTGAGGTCAGCTACATTGGCGTGGCATGTGTTTGAGAAACATAGGCAGCCCTCGCGGGCAGAGTTTGAGCAACTACGGGCGGGAGATCAATACAGCAGCTTTATTTTGCTGCCCTTTGCCAAAACATGCCCCTGAACGTGGGTGATGAGTGGTTTCATTTTATCTTCCCTTCGCCGCATGTTTGGATGCCAACTGTTCACTCGGTCAGCGTCCTGTTGTGAGGTTTTCCACAGTCAGGGACCGTGAGCTTCCTTGCGGGCCACCTGTTGCAGCATGGTTTAAGCAGCGTTTCACCATGCCCATCCAGCTTTCAAATTTACGTGGGCATCCCATCCGACTAGGTCCATGGCCATTGGTTGTTTGAGCTACCTGTTGAGTTGGCACCGTTGGAAAAACCGGCTTGGCCGGGCTCAGCAGGTCAGTGCATGTTTTGTTGGTGCTGATACTGTGGCTGCACGAAGTCCATTTCGCACCACTTTGAAACCATGGGAAACCATTTGGAAATCATCCTTCCAGTTCTTAGGGGGTGTAGGAGTTCGTCCATCCACAGTACACCTGCTGGAGTCTGCATAGCCCACATGTAGCAGCTTGAGCCAAGCAGAGCCAACTTTGCCCCACGTGTTAAAGAGGCTGACGCATTGGCACCGCAGGAGCTCGAAAAGGCTCGGGAAGACGCGAGCGCGGTGTCCATGTTTTCCACCGTGCCTTCGGCTGCAGCCATGGGTGGTTTTGGGCTGAGACACCCTAGGCTGCACAGTGTTGGCGAGCCTGGAGGAATTGCCTGTGCTCTTTGCATGAAGGTCCAACTGATGCGCAGGGCTGCTTGAACTGTAACGCCGTGGATGGGGCACCCCCCCTGACTCTCCCTGACTTGCGAGCCTGTATGGTTCTTTCTGGGTTTCTTTGTAGCCTGGTAAGCTCATGGAAAGGGGATACCTGTTTGGGATGCAATTCCCTCTGGAAGAATGAGTTTCACCTTGCGACCATGTTCCTTTAAAAAGACCTCTCAACTTCCACGTGAGGTAGGCTACCTGGAGCCCTCGGGGGGGGGAGGTGGGGGACTCCCGTCGCTCCAAGGCTTCGCGGCTCTTCGGCGACTCGGCGCGAAGGAAGGCTTCGGGGTTCAATGGCTCAATTCGAATGCTAGGTCCCCCAGCCAGGTGCCCTTTTACCAAATCTTTTTTGGGGTTTTGGGCTCCCCTACAAAAAAAAATACAGAAAAAAACAGTTGGTACCAAACTTATTCTAACCTCTCTACTGGAGGACCTAGAATGATTTTTAGGAAGTTCTGCCGGATTTATACGCCAACACTCCGGTCCGTGTCCGAACTCTGACAACGGATCCGATCCAAAACAAGCAGCTCCAGGACATCTACGAGGGCAAACATCCTCTAGAAACGGCTGCCATGTTGAGCCTCCTGAAAGTTGGCAGTTGGCACGGCACCTCCCCGACGCAAAAGGTAAGCATGATTCAAGTGCGCAAAGGAGTCTCCTTTTGATATCACTCCCTTTGTTCAGGTTTCAGACTGTTGGAGGGTCCAGGAATCTATCGGCGTGTCAGTTTGCAAAGAATACCAGCTGCTTATGATTGACTGTTTTGATGATTCGTTTGCTTCAAACCCTTTCATGGAGCCAGGCCTCTTGCTGATTGGAAACCCCACAATCAAGACAACATGTGGTTTATTAACCCATGAAATAGGTGTTCATACCAGGGTTCATACAAGGGATTTATACCGGGGGTTCATCAGGGTTCATGGATATCTCGCTTGGCTGCTTTGTGGTTGTGAGCTGGCCAGGGTTGATGGTACAGCATTTGTCATGTCATGTGGGTGTGTCAGCTGGTGGCTCAGCAACCACCCGACGTGTCATCATGTTGTTTGCCGCCTTCTTGGAAGGCGGCGAAAATTCACAGTCCACAAGCTGGTAGGATTCTTAGCCATCAGTCGATGCCCAATCAGTTTAATGTTGGCCAGTCAATTCATAAAGCCAGTCATGATTAAGATGCCCTGAATGGTGATCCAGGCGCCGTTTAAGAGGCAATCCTGCACTGTAATTGGGGGGAGTGCCACCCTATTAATTGAAAGCATGTCATGTCAAGCCGTTGGAAGTGGTTGAACAGTTGGGGTGTTCGATTCGAGGGCCCAACAATAAGAAGGAGTGGTCATTCCATGGTAACCCTTCCGAACAATCTTAACAAAGGCACCACCAAACCCTAGTTGTTCAAGGGCACACGCTTTCCCCTTTTTTAAATTGTGGGTTGCCTACTAAACATAGTCAACACCAAGAAGAGTTGTCTTTTTCTATCTGGGCCACTGGGCAACTGGGAAGGTGCAGTTGGGGACAATGGATGGCACAATCCCCAATGTCGGTTTAGTCAGCCCCTGTACTTCTCCACATAAAAGAGATTTGTGTCATCTACCTTCCCCCAGGTCCCCACTTGTTAGCTGCATTTTTGTGGGTTGGACACTATTGGACCACTGGAAGAAATGGCCTCCAGCTGCACCAGCAACACAGCAAATGTTTATTGTTTTTTAGAAACATAAATAAACGGGTGGTGTCCTTGCGGTTTCCCTTAAAACCAGCCAAAAGGGTTACCGGGACCCCTAAAAACAGACACCCCCCAAATGGCACCCAGGTAACCACTTTGATTTGACCCCCGGCAGAAATGGTCTCCAGCCGCGCCAGCAAGGCAACAAATGATAGCATGAACAAGGCCTGCAAGCTGAAGCAAAGAACTCGCGCCCCGCACAGGACGCGGGCAGGTTGTTGTTTTTTTCGGCGCCGAGGCACAGTCACCTCTGTGGCGGCGGCGGCAAGGGCGGCTTCGGAACAGACCTGGGCTTTGGGGGAAGAGCCGCCCAAGGAAGCAGGCAAGGGGTGGGTGGGTGAGAGGAGTGGGGTGGGACGTTCAGGTTAGGTATCGCCTGTTGTTCCTGAATGATTTCCAGGAGTTCCCTTGGTCGAGACGGGTTTACATCAGTTGTTGTGAGTTTACCCTTGCAGGAAGTGGGAGGGCGCCATGCTTTGCAGGGCGGGCTCGCTACCCCGGCGCCGCCGTAAAAGACAACTTTGATCTCTTTGTGCGAGTTTTATCGTACTGTGCTCGCGTGAATTTGTGCTCCCGCACTTCTGATCGAGCAAGTTCTGCTGGTGCAATTGCGCTCGTGCAAGCTGCAAGCGCGCTCGTCCAAGTGTGCTCGTGCAAGCGTGCTCACACTGCCGCGCTCCAGCACTTGTGCTCGTGCAAGTGCGCTTGTTCGAGTGTGCTCATGCAAGTGCGCTTGTTGCAAGCGCTTGCTTGTGTTTAGTAGGCTGAAGCACTGCCTGAGTGACTCGTATAAGCGTGCTCCTGCCTCTCGCAGCTTGCCTGATTCAGGCACCGGCGGCCAGAGCGGCTGGGAGGACAACAATGACACAGGCAAGACCTGCGTCGCCTTCTCCATCGCACGTTTGTCAACATAACCCTGGCCACTCCTCAAATGGTTTGCTGGATTGCCTGCTATTTGTGCCTTGGCGGATTTCACCATGGTACAGTCATCTGTGGCATAGGTGTTTTTGATATATATATATATATATATATATATATATTCATATATATATATATATGTATATACACATGCAGCGCATATCTATATATATACGTATGCTCTACACGTACAAGTGTATTACCAATCTATCATTTGTTCGATTCAGCTTGTCCCTTCTCCGGTGCCTTGCCAGGCGCAGCGAGCGCCAGAAAAGAAGTGGAGGCGGGCCGCTTTGCCCATGGCTTCTTCCACTTCCGGGCCTTGATGGGTTGTTTCAACGGGATGCCAAGAGGAAACTTGCCATGGAACCCCCCCCCCAATTTGGAGATGTGAGTGTGTCCTTGTTTGAGGGTACCCCTTTTTGTTGATGTTTTTTAAAGGGACCCCAAAAGGAAACCCTAAAAGAAGACGCAGCCTAATGCCTCCCATGCATACACTGTAGCTGAGAAACCGGCTATGGGAAATTCTACGGGAGAATTGCTGATTTTGAATTTTGGTGTTGTTTTTACGTGGACGGAGCTTCTGCTTTTTGCCAGGCTTTTTCAATACACGTTTGGTTGTGCTTAGCCCCGGTCACGAAAGGGCATAACCTAGGATTCCGGATCCCCATTCAGGGTTTCCCTTCTGGGGCAATGCAGCAAGACAAAGGGGTGTATGTGCTTGACATGATGGTTGTGTGACCGAATCCCCCGGCGAGACTGGTTTTTTGGAAACAAACTTGGCTTTCTCATTAAACCTAAAAAGGTGATCGAGCTTGGTGAAAACCAATTCTAGACATGGAGATACCGAGTCCCTCGTGGATGTGTGGATCTTGAGTTCGTCCAAAACTCGGTCTTTTTGCCGTCTTCTTTCGAGTGTCCGGGAGTTTGGCGACCGTGTTAGTGGTTTGGAGTGGGTTGGAGTGGTTTGGATTTGCTTGTGCAAAGGGCGCCTTTCAGTTTTTTGCCGCTGGCCTTGACAGAGCTTTGCTGGCACTTTCTGGATGAAGCCAAACCTGCCAAGCATGCAGACGACGCAACCACGCTTGGCCTTGCTAGTTTTGCAAACAGCGGCCTGGATGATGCCTGCGCGACTTTTGAAAAGCAGGATGGTTGAACAGAATAGAAGCTGTTTTTTCTCCCAAAAAAAGTTAAATAAGACTTCTTACTAAAACTGTATGTAGGAAATATGCACTTGACATAAAGTAATATACTGATGAAATAAATGTAGAATTGATTAAGGTATTAAGGCAAAATAAGAATCCGGGGGGGTGCAGCTGGAGGCCGCAAGAGGCCGTCGACCCCTTGTCGCAGCTCAGGTCCTCAAAGCCAAGCTCAGCATGGCGCAGGATCAGCTGAAGGCGGGATGGGGAAAAGCAGCCAGGACACCGAACTCCCGGCTTGGGCGTGGGCGTTCCATAGAGGAGAACCTTCACTTCTGGAGCTGGGAGAACACCTCATGACTCAAGTGAGTCCGGGGTTTTCATTACGCGGTCGCTCAGTAGCATGCTTGTCTACATTCTTGTTTGGCAGGTTCGTCTTGTTTGGCAGGTTCGGACCCTCTAAAATTAGTCAAGCCCAAAAGAATTCCCTTGTTCTACCGGTCACTGGCCAGGTACGAATCCCTTCGCGGCGCTTTAAGTGGTTTAAACGCCGCCTTTGGGAAATGCCAGCTTAATTCCTCCAGGGTTGAGGCTTTCAGGGTTGAGCTGACCAAACCTCCCGGGCGATTCGGAATTCGAGGTTTGGGACATGGGCGGACTCATATGATCCAGGAGTACGAACTGTCCTACGTCCAGTGAGGGAACCGCATATGTCCCCAATTGAGTGAGTTTCAGGAGAAATCTTGCTGGTAAGCACCTTGATGCTCGGGAGCCAACCCATGCCAGGTAATTATTAATTACGACCATGGTCACAAGTCTGGTCACTGTGAGGAGTTTCCTTTTAACCATTGTTGCAACCATCTTTCGGAGAAGAACGCGTCTAACACACAATGGGATCACCCCCCCCCGTGTGTAACAAGCCATGGGAGTTCCCTCTCTGCCCCCGCTTCCCATACCTCGATCCCGTCGCCCAGGCGGAGCGCCTGGCGCACGGGCAGAGCGCCATCAAGGCCTTGAGCGGCGAGGTGGCGGCCCTGTCCCAGGCGCGCGTGCGGCGCGCAGCGAGCGATGGCGGGAGCCAAAGGCGTCGGGCCTTTGGTGTAGAGCGGTGGAAACATGGTCGATACAAATTGTGGGGGGGGGGACGGGTGCCAGACATGTTGTTGTTTTTTTGTTTCGGCCAGAGCCGCGTTTCAATCCAAGTGACCCAAGTCGGCCGCGGCAGGCCTTGGGACGTGAGCGCCAAGAGAGCGAACGTGAGAAGGCGCGGTTTTGATTCGGAGAGCATTTCTAGGTTGCCCCCACTACATCTGCCCGACGAGCTCAATGATCATGTGGGTTCCCGATTTGGGGATTTCTTGCTTCAGGGTTTGGTTTGGAGTTAACGTTCATTGGCAAATTGTCAAATTATGTAGATAAAAGACTTCAAAGACGTGCGGTGTTTCGAGGGCAAGGGATTGCCACAGTCTTTTGGCTACCCAGCGACTTCGTTCACGCTTTTGTCGTTGGAGGATTGTCCTAAAGTGCGGGAGGCAGGTTGTTGAACACCAGCCCTAGGGGGAGACAGCGTTGATCCAGATTTGTCCACGGCCGAGCCCCGATGCGCAGGCTCATTTGAAAGAGCTCGTTCGGCAGGCGTGGACGGATTGCTCGTTGTCTGTTTTATGGGTGCCCAATGGTGGCCGGGCGCGCTTATGGCGAGGTATACAACTGTGGCAACCTGCTTGGTATAGCACTGCAGGCACAAAACATATGACATTGCCGGGGAGCGGGGAGGGACCATAAACTTTCTTACGAGTCGCTTTTCTTCAGGCAATAATCAAGCAGGGGCCGCTTCTGCTGCCAGCTGTATTCATTTGGGCTCTTGAAGGGGCTGACAGATTAACACATGGAGCCCCAAGAAACGCCCATTTGAAGCATCAACCCCTTTTAGCATTGGGCGCTATGTTGGCTTTTTCATGCTGGTTTGCAGTGGGTAAAGGACTCAACCAGTCTTGACCCAAGATGCTTCTAACGCCGGGAATCATGATCCGGTTGAATTTACACTGCGTGCTGGGAATCGCCCAAGGAAGCTTGAAGGGGAAGCGATAAGGTAATGGTCGGATGGAACTTGACTGGGGGTACCCCTCTTCCAGCAGTCATGGAAGAGGACGGAACGTTTCGGGAGACATCCACTGAATGGACAAGGCCCCCTGTCCACTTTCATGCTTGTTGGAAAAAGGGGGTATGACAGAAAGGAAGTGTGCTCCGAGCCTGTAACAAATGATGGAATCACCACACTGGTAGAAGATTAATAAACGGTTTTATCATTGTGTCCCTCGACCAGTACCTAGATGTATTATACCCTTGTGCCAAGTTCTTTTTCAAGCAACCCTGGCAAAAGCTTTGTTGGGAAGAGGGTATCCATGATAGGAACATTTAAGTTTCACATAATGGTTTCCCCTGTCCCCCCTGTCAGTTATAGGGGGTTTGCTTGGATACACTGGGCAATTTACGGAGAAGCACACTTTCGCACAATCGCCGAGACAGGCCAAGGAGGATCTTCGGCAAGTAAGCACGGCGCGCCAGGCAAGGGATTCGGCTGTCCCGACTCCCTTCTCCCCGCCTCACCTGTTTTGCCAAGGTCTCCATGGCACCTCGTTCGAGTCTTCCTTGTGGGTCAGGGTGAAGGGCTAAGACGGGAAGTCGACCAAACCAGTTGTCCAGCAACATCTTTCATGGCACACTTTACCAGGCTTGGAGTCTGTCGAAACCAATTCCTCCGCGCAGCCATTGAAGGAGCTGCGTTTTGAGCCATGGAAAGTCATGGACTGGTGTAGAAATCTTCTGGGGGGGGGTTGCCCTGCATTTATTTTTTGCAGATTGGGTTCGTGTTTCCAGTGCGCAGAGGGTTCAAGTGCCTTCTAACGAGGTTTTGCCCCAAAGCCATCCTCAGGAGGTACTTGGACCCTCTGGGTTTTACAGGCCATCTCAAAGTATTGTTCTGCTGGTGTACTTAGATTGGCAGTCCCATGAGCCTTTTCCACAATGGAGAGGCAACCAAAAGGGGACACCCAAAACCTGCCTGGTGATCTTAAAATTGTGGCTCCCCTTTCAAGTACCCTTCCACCAAACGTGGCTTGGTGCACAGCGTCCCTTCGGAAGACAATGCCTGAGCATGCATTTGCTTCCCCTTTGTTTTTGAAGGGTTGGTCCCCTTTTAGCCGTGGTAATAATCTACAAGGTGGGTAGGCCGGGGGAGTTCTATGTTTGCAAGTTTGCAATCCTGAGAACCCAAACCCACAGCTTTTCCACAGTTCCCGCAGTCACAGCACAGCACTGCACCCTTTTCCGAACTTAACTACTAACTTTGTTGCCCTTGTGTCCTTTGAGGCGTCATTTGTATGTTCCTCTTAAGTGAACAACAGGTGGCCGTGGGTCAAAAATCGGTACCCAAAATGGAACCCTGGCAAATGGAAAGGGTGGACTAAAACCTGCGGTCCCCTGTTGGTTTAATTTGGACCCATACCCTGGTGTGTGTGTGTGCCGGAATCGGGGACCCCTCTTGATCCACTTTCCTTTCGAATTCACTTTCAACCGGCGAAAACAAGAGCAAAAGTAGTCTCAAGAAAACACACGCTCAAGTCAACCTTTGGGTATGGGTTAAAATTAAAGCACCAGGGGACCGAAGGTTTTAGTCCCTGTTGCCACTTGCCAGGATTCCATTTGAGGTACCCATTGTTGACCCACACCCATTTGTGTGTGTGTGGTTTGTTTGCTTTCTGCTTGGGACCCCCGTCCAAACCGCAGTGGATCCGCGGGTGATCTCGTTCGTACAGGGCGACAGCTCGGGCCTGCTGCCGCAGCTTGAGACGCTCAGGCGACAACGAGACCAGGCGCCTGAAGACTGGTTTGCCTGGGGCGGTCGTTTTTGTTTTTTGGACGAAGAAACCAGTGTTAGATGGGTTTTGAACGGAAATCCCAGGGTTAGTTTTGTTGAAGCCCCTGTTGTTTGGGCACTACGTACCTTCCCTTTCTTGAAGCTGCATCAAGTTGCACCAGACTTCCTAGATGCACCCTCAGTCATGTGGGCGCATACCCCATTTCGATGCAACTCCAGGGTTGCCAAAAAGATACGATTCGGCAATTCCGATCATTCCCTTTTCGCGGACCACCAGCAAACCACTTGTTTATATAATATATATATATATATATATGTGTGTGTGTGTATCTGACTATATATATATATACACCGGGGGGAATGCTGTGGAAGTCAAGCACCCATGCCATGTTGCCCCTGGCTCCCTTGGCATGGCTCGCCATTTCGGCTCCCAGCCCTTGGGCCCGTCGGCGAAAGTGGCAGCTTGGCAGGTTGGCTGAGACAGAGAGGTAAAAGCCGTGGGCCGGTTGCTTTTTAACCCTAGGGCCAAAGGTCCGTGGGGTGCTCTAAATTGGGCGCCAAGGAATACTACCCCGCCCCCCCCCCCCCCCCAAATTTTGGAGGTATTGGAATCCAAAGTTGGTAACCGCGAAGGGGGCTACATTTTTGTTCCCAGCCCTTCAGGCCGGCACCCCTTCCAGGTGGGTTTGTCGTTTTCTGAGGGTTGCCCTATCCTCGTCTCACTTGCCCGGTGACCCGGGATCCAAACACAGTGGCAATGGGAACAACCTGTTTGTGTAGTTGGCTTTAAAGGGAAATCCCTCGAGTGCACTGGGCTGAGCACAGAGCCCAAAAGCAAGGTTCCAAAAGTGACAGCAGGGATGGGAGCTGCCCAAGGCTTTCTCTGAGCATATGGCATGATTCATCTCACTTGCAAAGAGCCAACCTTGCGGCCTTTTCATTTTAATCTGCATTTGGTATACCTAAAGTAGGAGAATCCCAAACCTGGCGGTGGTGGTTTCCCTTTCGACCAGCCTGAAAAGGTCGTGCTGTCGCCGCTTTTGCGCCCTGCACCCCCCCTAACAAGAAAACGCCCGGCACTTAGTTGCACTGAGCGAGTGGCAAAGACAAAAGAGCCTCAAAAGGGGCAGCCTCGAATTCAGAGAGTTCCAGGCGCATGCTCAGCTTCGTGCTCTTGGCCCACGTGGCGCCCGATGAGCAGCTGGCGCTGCTGGGGGGCGCCACTGCGGTGGGGGGCTGGAACTTGTCGCAGGCCCGAGGTGTCGAAACGGGGTGGCTTCACCAGTTGGCTTTTATCAGCTAGGTCCCCCAGTAGTGCCCTTTTACCTTTTTTTTGGGGAGGGTTCCCCTGCTAAAATAGACTACAGAGAACTAAAAGGTACCCTTATTCTAACCTCTCTACTGGAGGACCTAGTCAGGTTCCACTCCCCAGACAAGGCCCCAAACCGCCAATGCTAGGTGTGGGTCAAGGCCACCCAAGGCCCAAAGTGAATCGACCTTTTCTTCCATGTGTTTAAGAATATGTGTGTTTTTCCTTTCGTTTTGTTGTTTTAGGGAATCTATCATTCCTGGAACTAGAGTTTTTTCCAGGCAGCTTAAGCAATGGTTGGGTTGGAATCCTCTTAAGTCCTAGAGTGCTTATCTTTGACGGGTGTGGTCCTCAAGCCGTAACCCTACCCTCCTGAAACTTACAAAGCATGAACCCCACGCTGTTTGTCCAAGAACCACTCTTCATGTCCCCATGTTCATTTCCAGGCTCTATGCTTATTCAAGCCCGAAGCTATAACCCTGGCACGCAGGCTGCTGGTCAACACTTCTAGCCACCAACGGGGGCAATCTGGACTCGTGAAAACCAAAACAGGAGAACTTCCCCTACAAAGGAGTGCGCCAATCACAAACCAGCTTGCTCTCTTCATAATTGATTTGGAACCCAAAACAGGGGCCAAACGGAGATGATTGAACGTTGACTTCAAGAGAAAGGACAACCATCATTTTTGCTGTTCCCTTACTGCGGATGGGCATGGTCCTGCACCAGCTGGGATGGATAAAGCATGAGAACCCCTGTGAATTGTGGGAACATGTGCAAACCACTTCAAAACATGACCTTCAGGGACACATTGGGTATGTAGATGCGTAGCCACTATGTATAGGACACGTGGCATATGTATCCTTGTTCTTTTCTGCGGGTGGTAGTTCGGAGGTAGTCCAATACCTGAATTGTCCTTCTGCAATGGCTGCAATGTCTTTGAGAATCATTTTAGCACCAGGTATCTGATTGTGGACAACTTGGCTTTAGGGCAATTTCTGCAATACCAGGGATGCGGAAGGGATGCAAATCTCACGTCGGTGACACGGATTTGGGGTTGTTTCCCAACCAAGGCTCATGCCCCCTCCAATGCAGGCCCCCGGGCCCTCCAATGAAGAATCCGGACATCTCAGGCGTTTTGGACAACAAATTGACCCCGTATCAATAAACCTGTCCCTTTAATGGGGGCTGTCCTAAAGTGAATCCCCCACTAAACCCAGGGACGCCCCCTATCAAACTGTGGGTGGACAAACTTCAGCACCACTTGGGGTAGAAGAAACCCGAATGGGGCAAGCCACCCCACACCCACCTTTGCTTTGTCATGTCGTGACAGGCAGTGAGCCTGACTCCGTCCGGCCGAAACCGGTGGACGGCGGAGGTGAACGTGTCAGCCCACGGCTTCCGCTACTTCGAGCGCCCTTGGCAAGTCGTTCAGCGCCTGTCTTTCGCTAAGCAACCCTCGAAAAGGGGTCCCTTTACCAGACCTCTAGTGGTGCCCATGTGGGGGTTCCCCTTTTAAAATCAACTAGCAAAACAAGAAGTGCCACTGTGAGTCTGACCAGGTCACTGGGCAACTGAGATGAGGATGGTGAGTGCACAGCTTTGGCTGGAAGCCGAAGCACCCACATGCATGAAGTTGGCTGGCAACAGGGATTCTGAGGGGCGACCTCCTCCCTGTGTTTTAAGGGTACCCCGGTGATAATGCAGCTTGCCGAGGTACAAGTACGTCAAGCTCAAGGAGGAGGGAGAGAAAGAAGAGTGAGAGACAGACGAAGACCAATCCAGAGAGAGAGAGAGAGGGGGCCTTGGGTAGAGAGAGAGAGACAGACAGACGGACAGAGAGACTGGTGCTTGGACCGATCAAGACACAATAGATTCAATGCATCGTTTTGCATACTTCTGCAACCTCTGTCAGGTATCTTGCATCCCTCGGGGCTTTATCTCTCTCTCCCTCTCTCTTTCTTCTGAAAGGGGGTGCTTTAATTTTCCGTTGACAAAACAAACCCCTCAAAGCGCACTTGGACCCGGCAACGTGTTTGAATCGCACATTTGTTGGTTGCTTTTTCTGCTGGATCCAGATTGAATCGCCCTACCCTTAGTGTTTGTGCATGAAAACAATCAATCCAAATCGGTTCGAACCAACCGCCCGCATTGGGCAATTAAGCATCACACCCGCCCGTCATGTGCAAATCCAAACTGCCCAACGGGAAAGACACGTGTGTTTCCCACTCCCTCGGTTGCTGGACTTTTGCATACTTGGGGAGGATTATTTTAGTGGCAAACGAACAGCTGGACTTGCGTTGGCCAATGCGCTGGAGAAGTGAATTGATTTTCTGCTGAATCCATCTGAAGGACCACACAGAAGAGTGGGAGCACACCATCTTCAACCGGAACTTGCTCTCTGTGCCTTTCGTAGACTTCACGGTGGACGACGGCGCATGGACGGAAACCAAAAGAGAGTTGGAGTTCTCACTTGCCCAAAGCCGAGCTTTTGACCTTTTTGTTTTCTGTTTTGGTCATCTTTATTAATGGTGCAAAAGGCTAACCTTTTCCTTTGGGCAACTGAGAGTTGGGTGGAGAAGTACCTGCCCCTCAGGGGGACGCCCTGTAATTGTGTTTCATGATGGGTGACTTTTAGAATGTTCTAGTCTTAGCCCGAAGCGTTGGCCTTTATTCCCAGATCATTGGCAAGGATCGGGCATCAAACATTGTAGTTGAAGGGCTATAGGTAAAGCGCTTTCGCTTACATGGTGCATTGTTTGAGCAGCAAAGATGACGAGCCCTGTGTTGGGTGGATTGAGTTGAACATCCCAATCCTTACATGGCGAGTCAGCAAACTTTAAGCTCTCTGTCTCGACGCAGATCTCGAGCAAACAAGTGTTTGAGTTGTTTCTGCCTGTTGACCTGAACAGGCCAGGCCCGAAACTTCCAGTTGCTTAAGAATATGATTTCCCCCTGTTGGTTTTAGAGGGAACCTATCACTATTCTTGAACATATTTTCTATCACTATTATTGAACATATTTTCGTATTTTTCCAGGGGGTTGAGCAAATGGAGGAAAGGGTTTTCGCTCTTGGCGAGTCGAGTCAGCAGAATCGGCTCAGGTGCCTTCGCCAAGCCCTTGCCGCCTCCCCCGAACCAACTGGGCATGCGGGGCCCCCCTCTGCCGCGGCCGAAAGGCGAAGGCTACCTGCCTCACCATGGCGCGTAATTTAGCCGGGGCTGCGCAAATTATGTATATAGTTTGTTCATTTTTGTTTAGGAGGGTTCGAGTCAGGGTTCATGTTACAAGTTACTGATGACACGAAATGAGCGAACCGACGGATACTGCATTTCGCAACAGGGCTACGTCCAATCATTCTAAGGGTAACTTCCCCATTCTTTCCAAGGATCCTTCTTTTCAGAGAACCATCAACGCCCTGGTGTTCGAAAAGAACGATTGTTGAAAGGAATGGGGAGGCATTCCTTAGAATCATGTTATCGGCCAGGTTCGGAACTTGGTTTTTGGCTGCCTTGGGCAACAGCTGAGGTCAGGGTCATAGCCCGCGCTTCGAGAAGTGCAGTCAAAGGAACCAAAGGGCAAGCCCGCATTGCAAGTGGGATGTTTGGGTTCGCCGTTTTCCCCTTTTGCTTTACTTGTGGATCCCATATTTCCGGTTTTGGGCTTGTAGAATTTGCAGATTGTGTTTTCCGGGGCCGAGTTTAGTTTGCCAGATGCCCACAATCCCCAACGACAAGCCGCAGTGCCGCATGTATAGCCCTCTTGAACGTACGCCCCACCAACCAAAGACATGGCGTTTGGCCATGTTGCTTTTGTGGGAGTCCATTGCTAAACAGGATCACTCCCAGATGACCAGGAGGTAGGAAACCAATATCAAGACTGAGCCTGTTTGCTTCTCGTTTGTTCCCTTTTGTTGTTTCAGCCTTTTGGTCGCGCTTCCCAGCACTTGCCCATGAAGATGTCCACAGTTGCATGCTCCTCTACTTCAGGGACTGCCATCCCAGGTGTTGCAAGGGATCCACTTGCCATCTACGGAGACACATAGACGCTGAGAGGCGCGCGCGCGTCCGCGCGCGAGAGGCCTGCGGGTGGTGGTCTGTGGCAGCTCGGTGGCTTCGGGCTGGCACACGGCCTACGACCACGGCTGGGCCTGGCTGTTGGCGGAGCAGCTGCAAAGCCGCTACCAGCACCAGAGCCTTTGGCTTGGCTGGGGTGGGTGGGCGGGGTGGGGAGGGGAGGTAGGGTGGGGTGGGTGGGGTGGGTGGGGTGGGTGGGGTGGGTGGGGTGGGTGGGGAGGTGGGGAGGTGGGGAGGTGGGGAGGTGGGGAGGTGGGGTGGGGTGGGTGGGGGGGTGGGGAGGTGAGGTGGGGTGGGTGGGGTGGGTGGGGAGGTGGGTGTGTGAGTGGGTGGCTAGTTATTGGTGGAGTAAGGTCCGGGAAGGTTAGTAGTTTTCTTCGTTCCACGGCTAATTGAGTCAGTCAGAGACTTGACTATGTCCGCGTGCTTGCCAATGAACTTGCCGGTCAACCAGATAGTCAATCGGGCAGTGAGGCGATTAGTCGGTTAGTCAGTCGGCAAGTTTGCCTAGCAGTCACGTGGTCATGTGGTCAGCTATCTGCCAGATGCTCAGCCACTGACTTGTATCAACATTGCAATGGGTATGGCCCCAGATTTATCAACCGTGTGCACAAGTGCATGGGTTTGTTTTCCTAAAACGTGCCTTCTGAAATGGGACCCTCCCTCTCGGGCACTCTTGGGCTGTTGGTCCAAAGATGATTGCAAAGGTTCGAATATTTGCTGTTAATCAACTAGGCAGGGTTCCCATTAGGTGGCTGAGAGTCGCTGAGCCCAAGGACGCTGAACGTCGCCATTCACGGCTCCTTGGCCTCACGTTTGGAACTCCCGAGTTGCTTACTTGCACAGTGGCCCTGGTAGACAAAGGGAGCCATTTTTGGATAGCTGGTTTTAGTGGGGAGGCCGCCAAAGCAAAAGGGAAAAGGATGCCACTGAAAAACAGCGTTGTATTTCTCCCGGCTGCCAGCTGTTTTCGGGATTTGCTCAGAAACAACGCGACGCAAGGTATTCAGTTTTTTTCTAACAAAGTAGAAATCGTCTTGATATTTCAACGGGCTTGAACACCCCGTTCTGGTTGCCACTTTTGCTGCTGTTCCCTTTTGGGCTGATGTGTGGGGGGCAGAATTATCGAGGAACCCTGAGACACCTGAGTATACGTTTGTGATTGTTTGTGTCTCAGTTATCAAGTCGCGGCATGCCCTGAGCAGTGTGACAATTTTCCTTTATGCCTGAGTTTCAAAATATTTTGGTCTATGGTCAGAGTTGTCCAGGACGAGGGGGACCCTAATCTCTAAATGCAGAGGGGGGCTCAAGGCTGTTTGTCTCTTGGGCATGGCTCATTTGGGATCAATCATGACCCAAGCATACCGTTGTTCAAGATGCCTTCCACGACCGAGGCTACACCACAAGCCTGCTTCTTGCAGACTTTGACCGATGCCCGGCTGAGGGTAGCTGCATGTTCCAAACATACTCCATGTGTCCTGCACGGGGCTCGTGTCAAGTCTCAGAGCTTCTCCGACTTCGGCCAGGGTTGCAGTCGCAACACATGTTGTGTTTTTGCCCACTTTTTGTTTGGAGGAAAGCCAAAGGAAAGGGTGTTTTTTTTGGCCTAGCCCTGGCACAGAGCTAACCCTGGTTGGTGGTTGGTTGGTTGGTTGGTTGGTTGGTTGGTTGGTTGGTTGGTTGGTTGGTTGGCGCCTCGGTAGGACGAAGGTTTGGAATGGGATCAGGGTAGGTTTAGGGTAGGTTTGGGGTAGTCCGTTTAGGGTAGGTTAAGGCCCGGCATCGTTTTAACATCCTCAGCATTGTTTTCAACATCTGCAGCATCACCAGGCTTTGGTTGGCTGGGTTTAGGGTAGGTTCCAGGTTGGCTCAGGCTTGGCTCCAGATGGGTTCCAGGCCTATTGAGAGCAAATTTGGGGGTGGCTGGTTTATGGTGGGGCTTCTTGGGGTTGGTCTCGGATGAGTAAACACAGCCACGACCGCAGCCAATTTTAAACCCACCCTAAACCAGCCCTAAACCCATCCGAGACCAACCCCAAGAAGCCCCACCATAAACCAGCACCAAACCATCCACCTCAAGCACAGCCACCCCAAATTTGCTCTCAATAGGCCTGGAACCCATCCGGAGCCAAGCCTGAGCCAACTGGAACCCACCATAAACCCAGCCAACCAAAGCCTGGTGATGCTGAAGATGTTGAAAACAATGCTGAGAATAACGGACTACCCTAAACCCACCCCAAACCTTTGTCTGTTTGTGTGTGTGCCAGGGTTCGGCAAATGCCAGGGCTATGTAAACAAAAATGCACCCCAGCCTAAAGCCAAAAGGAAAGCAGGGGATGAAGGGCAGGTAGGCCAACAGGACAGCCGCTCTCCTTCACTCACCGCCGACACTTATTTCAGGTTTGCTCACTTCTCCGTTGGACACCCGCTGCTAGCATCCATAGACCGATGAGGTATTCCCGAAATGCCGATGTTGGTTTTGTTTCCTTGGACACCATCCAGTATGAGCCAAACATCCCAGTGGATACCAGCAAGCAGCATAATCGGTATTCATTTGCCATTTTGCGGCTAGTCCACTCGGTGTGTTTTGGATATATATATATATATATTCTATCACACACATACATATATATATATATATACACACACATCATCCCCCCTGCATGTCTTCAGATTTCGCAGGTATTTGCAGTGTTTGCTGCCCGTTTTGCGTTTTGAGGAAAGCCTCAAAAATCAGGCGCAATTGTGTAGAGCTGCTACCAGGTATATTGTACTGAAACGGTTTAAAGTATGAAGGAATGTGCAGACCAAAACATGCTTGAAATAAGTATAAGAATCTAGTCTAGTTCCAGTTTGGTCCTAGTTGGGAGGTCCTTTATTGTGGAGCTTTTGGTCCTAGTCCAAGTTGAGAGATTCTGGTTTCTGGTCCCAGATAGGCAACTCATGAACTGGAAAGGAAGAAAGGGTCCCTTGGGCGGCATGAGGTGTGTTGCCGTCGGATTTTGGCTTGAGTTGGGGCCTGGAGCAGTGAACATCCTCGTAGAACCCTGGATGAAACCATGCGCGTCCTCAAACAATGTTGAAAGGTCTCAAACAAGTGAATCGGACTGGCCGCCCATGGGGGCGGGCTGGAGCCTATGATGAGCTAGGGGCAAGCTGCTAATGAGGCCTCAATTTTCAGGGTTGACTAGGTACCACCCCTTTACAAAGCGCTGAGGACTGGTAAAGTCCACCAACCCAGATGTGGCGCCCTGGCATGCATTTGCAGAATCACAGCGGCGGAGTTGTGTTTCGGGGACCCTGCAAACGCCCCCCCAACCCACAAAGTGAAGGATGGACAAGCTTGATTGATGCTAAATATGGCTGAACAAGCCTAATGCACCGAATCTGGGGGCGGTCTTTTTTTCTCCCATTGGTTGGATTGAGTGATCGAGTGGGGGGAGTCTTTCATTTGCTTGTTTGGTTTCCCATGGAGTGGTCGGATGTCTCCTCTGCATCTTGAGGTGGGCATGTGTCAAGATTGGGGGGACCTCAATCATGGTGGTTTTCCGTTTAGCTCCCTTTCAAACCAACCCAGAAAACAGGTACTTCTTCAAAAAGACACACACACACACAAACATTTGTACTAAATATAAGGTGTTCACAAGCTGGCTGCACCAGGTTTGCCGGAGTTCCCTAGAGGATCTTGGATCGTTTAACCCCTGGTTAACACGTGGCTATGAGCCCGAGCTTCAATCGGGAACGTGAAAAGTGGTTGGACATGACTTTCCACATGCCCAGCAAAGCGTCCCCCCATGAACCTTTATGGGTGTGTGGGTCAAAAATAGGTACGCAAATTGACACCCTGATAAGTAGAAGCATGGACTAAAACCTGCGGTGTGGTGGATACCCATTGGGCGGTGTCTTAAAATAGGGAACCCCAAAAAATGGAACCCTGGCGCCAAGGACTAAACTAAAACCTGCGGTCCCTCTCGTGGGATCCATATCCTGGTGGTTGATTTGTTACCTGTTACCCATAGCCACACCCTGGGTTCCATTTTTTGGTTACCTTGATGTGCCCAAACGCGTGTTTCCCCCCTGAATTTAAAGCAGGGAGCCAATACCATACCCGAGTGGTACTTTGGACAAACTCCATTTCGCACCACCGTTCAGGCGCCCAAAGGATCCCAAAGGCAAGGTCTGATTCCCTGTAAATACCAAGCAGTGGTTTCAACTCCATGGCTTCTCAGGTGCGAGAAGCGGATTTCTCGGATGTCGCAACCATCCACAGCTCGGCAGGTGGTGATCGGCTTGAGCTTGGCCAACGAGGGCGTCTCGGACATGGCGAAGAAGCCCAGCTGGCGCCGCCTGGCCTCGAGCTTCAAGACGGGCATCCGAGCCTGGGCAAGCACAGCCGGGGTTCGGAGGCCTGTCATCCCGTGCTGTTTGCTACTTCGTTGTTTTTCGTTATTCTTTCTTTCTTTTTGTTTTTTTTGTTTTGTTGGGGGGGAGGCTTCCGCTTCACAGCTTCACACCAACCAACAAAAAGGGTGCTTTTTTTTCCACTGGGCTCCCGAGAGGTTAGTACTGTATGTATGGAAGGTGGGAGGCTGAGGGTTGGTGAAGGGAGCCAAATGGGTGTGTGCAAACTTGGGTGTGACCCTCCCCCTTCCCCTCCGCCCTCGTGGCTGACGTTAAAGTGAAGCCCGGAGCCAAGACCAAGCTGACCATGCTTCAATACTTAATTGGGACGTTGATGAACACTGGCTGACTTTGATCTTTGATCTTGGGAGGGTCCAGAGCACTCTTGATAGTGGGAGAGTCCAATTCAAGCCCGCGACATGTTCCCGCGAGGACATTTGCTCCACGAAGTGCGGGACATCGAGGCCGTGCCAATCCTGGCGGACGTCTACCCACATGGATCCTACACCGACCCATTGCAGGTTGAGCTTCTGAAGGACCTAGTGGGTTGAGTCATCCAAGTAAGGAAGCCCATTGATACGGGTATACGTTTTAATAAGGGACCCTTTGGTGGACATCGTTAAGGTGAGGTTTCATGTCCACCAAGCACTTTTGAGGTGGTTCCCTATTAAAATTCATGGCCACACGGACATCTTGGGTTTAGCGAGTTTTTTGCTTGCTGTGCTCTCCTTCGCGCCCAGAAGCGGGTGAAGACACGTAGGACGCACACGACGCCTTCTTGAATATGTCCGTGCCAGTCCTGAAGTGGCTGGAGGACTTGGATGATGGCCATGGAAGGCTGGCTGGTAAGACCCACTTTTCTGCCAAGCAGTTAAGACTTGTTGTTGGCCAATGCACTGGGGAAGTGAGGCGTGTGTGTGTGGATGGGCGGTGGGCCATGGATGCACGCTCAGAAATGACCCATATGGCCCCGTACGGGCTTGAGATTTGGACCCCACTGACTGGGCAGGCTCGCCGTTTTGTTGCGCACGGGCCTGAGCAACCAAAGACGCGCGGGCAGCCAACTTGGAGAACAAGGGTCCGTATAGGTCCCCGAGGTAGCGTTCAAGCACATGAGGCACCAGGGGTAAGGAATAGCGGGTGGCTTCTATTGTGGATCCCTGAAATTACGCAAAACATGAATGGAAAGAGTCGTTGTTACCTACTTGGAGTGCATGTTCATTCACATTGTGGCATTTTGTTTCCACTCCAAGGGGGGGTCATTCCTACGGACAATGCCGTCCATCCACTCCGGGCCTTCGTTAAACCAGTGCCAGCTTGGCACTTGTCCGGGCCAAACGAGTGACGCGTGCAGCCCGGCGCACAGGTGGCGAAAGGGCTTCATGGCGGACCCGGGCCACCCCAATGGCCTCTCAGCGAGTCGAACTTTTTTGAGCGCTTCCCTAAGAGTCCGAGCATTTCTACAGCTGCTGCTGCTGCTGCTGCCATTTCTACTGCTGCCATTTCGCTGCAGCAGCTGCTGCTGCTGTTGCTCATGCTGCTGCTAGACTACTGCCGGCACACTCTAAGCAAGTACGTTGACCCCTTTACACCCTTAGTTCATCCTCAACGGGTACCATGGAAGCCTTTGGGTGTGATTTCATGTCACCTATGTGTGTGTTTTTTGGCTATGGCTAACGCTTCCAGTACGCCTGAAATGCTGGGTCAATGAGATGTTTGGCCAATTTCTCGTGCAGAAAAAATCCATTTGGGCATTGCAGAAAGGGTGAACCGACCAGGGGCCAAATGCCTGACTCAGGCCGCAAGTTAGGCCTGATGCGGAGCTAGGGGGGAGCTTGCAACCCTATGGTGGCCCCCCTAAAGATGGCGGGTATCCTTTAGTTTTCCCCTTAAAAAAGGCACCCTGAAACGAGTGCCCTCAACAAAAACAACACGGCCTGCTGAAGTCCATGATTTGAGTTGCACCCACAAAGGGGACCCTTTGTGCACATTCATCTCTGTTGCCCGGTGGTGCCCTGTTTTCCTCTTTTTTTGGGTAAGGCTTCCCCTTCAAACTCAACAAAAAAGAACGGGTGCCCTTTTTTCTCCCCATGGCCACTGAGCATCTGAGTCATTTTTTTACCATTTGCTGAGACCTGGGCCACGCGGCGATGTTCCACGCCATCAACATCAGCCTTTTCTCCCCCGCGCGGATCGCAGCGGAGCGGCGCGCCGCGGGGCTGGCGATGGATCGCCCAAAGTGAAAAGCTGAAAGCGAAAAGGAGACCAGCGCTGCGGCGATTCGTCACCGGTTTGGAAGGGCAGGGGCACCCGATGTGTGTGTGTGTGTGTGGTTGGAAATTTGGGGGGTACCCTTTTCACCTTAACTTAGGCTGGCAGGTTGCTTTTTTTTTATTACCTAGGCCAAGCCTCCAAACCTTCGTTTTTTGTCGACCAGTCAACTCAGCAGGTCGTTTCTTGTAGCTTTCAGTTCTGTGAAAGGGAAACCAAAGGGGGCACGTTTGTATTTGATGATTTCCCCGTGTAAGACAAACCCCTGGGGCCAAACATTGCGCTTGTGGAATTGTCACATTTAAGCGGTTTCCCCTGGGCGCAACGTTTGGGTGGAAGGCAGCCGTCCCACCAAACGTGGCTTAGTGCACACCTGCATTTTCCAAGGTTTGCTTTGTGTGCCGAGGTTGGGGGAGGTGCTGGACATCTGCAGAAGACGTGAATTTTTGGGACCTGAATATCCTGAATGTTTGTTTAGGGAGTAAGTTACTTGCAGCTGGTTTTGAAGTTCTTCCCCCCAGATCCAGTTACCCAGATCCAGCCTGGCACCTGGAAGCCAGGCCAGAGGCATCGCGCAGCTGGTGGCTCGGCAGCTGCCGGGGAGCCCCAGTTTTGTGAGTCAACGAGGTCAAAATTAGGTTCCCAAAATGGAACCCTGGTAAATGGAAACAAGGACTCAAACCTGCATCTCAGAAAATCGAGCGATATCAAAAGAGAACCGCTTGTTACTTGGTCGGTCTGGTTTCCGACCTTGACTTGAGATGTGTGTGTGTGTGTGTGTTTGTTTGTCCTGAGTATATTTTCAAGGGATTGGTTTGGCTGGGAATGTTTGGCCGGAAGCCTTGGAAGGGAACTCAAAGGGACATATGTTCCCGTTTGAGTCCAGTCCAGAAGGGTTGCCTAACGGCCACCCGCCTTACAAGTAGCCAGGGGGGGTTACCACTGTTACAATCAATTAACCCACTAAAAGTTAAACTTTTAGCGGGGGATCTGAGGGCAGCCCAGTTATATACCTCTTCCAAAAGGAAGAGAGCCTGAAGCTCTACCCGGTGCCCGGGCTCAGATGCGTCCCTAAGACCTGGACCGGTTGGGGATAGTTCTGGTTTTGCTACTTCTTCCCAGTCTCAATGTGTCAGCGCAAGCCAACCCGGAACTCGAACACATGCCCAAAAAGAACACACCCAACTCCAAACATGTCGGTTCTGAGCTTCCAGGTTTGGTTGAGGGAGAGTACTGATGAGGTCAAACTATGCGCAAGAGCCAAGCGCTCGAAGATCAGAGGCGGGGCGGTTTTCCCGGCACGTGCAACTTGTCATATCCTCAGCGCGGGGTGCCCTTAGAACAAGATACCCTTCCACCAAGTTGCAAACACGAACCTGACACGAAGATCCACAGCGCTACGTCACCTTTAGCCCACGCGATGCCTGTTGTTTAGCTTCCTCGATTTGTATCCACCTGTGGTGGTCGGAGCACTTGGGCCTCAGTCGGAAGAGCACTTGCATTTGAGGAGTGCGATGTCCAGCCTAATGGTGGCCTTCAGCCACCCCCCCTTCACCACCACCGCCCGCCCCCCCCCCAGCAGCTGCTAGGGGGGGGGGTTTACCTTACCACCCCCCCCCCCCCGTTTGTGCGCGGCTGGGGTGGGGGTCACCTTTAGGATTGGTTTAAGGTCAGTTTAGGGTTTGTTTAAAGTGTTTTAGGGTGTTTTAGGGATTGTTTGGTGTTTTGGGTTGGTTTAGGGGTCGGTTAAGGGTTTGCTTGGGGTTTAACGTGTTTTAGGTTTGGTTTAGGATTAGTTTGGGGTCGGTTTAGGGTTAGTTTAGGCTTGGTTTAGGGCCGCTTTGTGGTTGGTTTAGGGTGTTTTAGGGTGGGCTCAGGGTCGGTTTAGGGTTTGCATAGGGTTGGTTTAGGGTAGGCTTAGGGTTTCTTTAGCTTTGGCTAAGAGCGTTTTAGGGTTTGTTTAGGGTTAGTTTGGGGTTGGTTTAAGGTGTTTTAGGGGTTGGTGGGGGGAGGGGTTGGCTTCGGGGGGGGGGGGGGGGGGTGGGGTGGTGGTGGCAAGGGGCTTGGTGTTCCAAAGACCCCTGGCGTTGGTACGCATAGACCCTCATAGGGAATTTGGCAAACCTTTGCATGGTCCCTTTGACAGGACATGTTACCTTGACAAGCAAGCCAGTCTGCAAGGTTTGATTCCTCATTGTGGATTGCAGGCGGTCGCGGCTACGCCAGAACCGGAGCGGACGCTTCTAAGACCAGGCGCGCCAACTGGCGGGCTGCTGAATGGTCTGGTGATAGAACAACTTGGGACGGGGGAATGGGAGTCATTCCCCACTTGCATCTCAAGGGATCGTGGCTCCCCGTGAAGTGAAGTATCGGCCATTGGCAAATCCTTCCAGTGGTATCCCACAAGGCAATTCCCACAGTGGAACTACCTGCGCTCAATTCAATGGGAACACTGTCGAACAATATATTTGGATGCCCGCCCCATGCCTGGCGTATAGCAAGGTTCTATCACTTGATTACCACACCAAGGGTGGGCTATGTATTGCATCAGATATCAGCAGGACACCCCTTTGATTGTGTTTGGTGGACGCCAAATGTTAGAATCCCGGATTGTACATCCAAGTCCCACCAATTGAAATATCATTTTGGATGGACGTGTTCAGGTAACCTCCCCTGTTTTTAGACTTATTTGGCTGCCCTGTAGTGAGTAAGAAGCAGCTACCGCATGGACCCCCAATGATGGCCCACCCATTTTCGTGGTTTGCCAGTTGACTTGTTTGTAGGTAGGTAGGTAGGTTGGTTGGTCAGTTGGTTGGTTTGTTCGTTCGTTCGTTTGGTTGTTTGTTTTGGTTGATTTTCCCAGGAGCCTCTCCTGGCAGAACATCCGCCTCCGAGCCGGCGGTTTCGCCTGCGGAGGCGGGATGCGGATATTTGTCTGGCCGTGTTCGTGCGGGTTCCTTTGCCTTTCTTGCGCTTGCCTATTGACTGCCTGGTTGGCTGTTGTTTGTTTCCTTTTGTTTTTTTCCTTAGAGCCTCTCTTGAATTTCCTTTGTGTATTTGTTGGTTTCCATTTCTTTTCCTGTTGGCTTTGGCTTCGCTGCCGCTTGTGTTTCAAGTTATTGTTTTCTTGCTTGAGCTGTTCAAGCATGGCGCAGTTCCTACCAGTTCAGAAAGTCTTCGAAGAAACAAGGACTTGACATTGAACCTACCATGGTTTGTTGCTTCCCAGATCCCTGGTGTTCCTAATGTTGACCCCATACTAATCAACCCCAGTTGATGATTCCGGGGGTGTTCCCAAAACCACGAACACCCCCATATTAATAAGTGGTTGATTCACCTGGTGTCAACATCCAAAGTGACTCGAGGCCCGCAAAACTCAGCCCCCGAGAAAAAAGAAAAAAAAACGGAGCCAACGCCCAAGGCGCGCCTTGTGGCGCTTTCGCGCCGACCTCCGCCGTCCGAGTCTCCACGCCGCGAGCCACCGCGAGGCCCGCGAGGCGCGCGAGGCGCGCGAGGCCGAGGCCGTTCCTCGCTTGGACTTCGAAGGGGACGAGGGCAGCGCGCCGCGGCCGCCGGTGGAGATCACCTCCGGCTGGGATGCCGCTTGGGTTGAGCACCGGAGAAAGCCGGTTTGCGTGATTTTTTTATGGTTTATATGGGATCTTTGGGGTTCTTTACCTTTTGCGTGTTTTGTGTGGTTCTTTGTGGTTATTGGGGGCTCTGTGTGGTTCTTTTTGGTTCTTTTTGGTTCGTTGTGGTTCTTTATGGTTCTTTGGTTTGCGTAATGTTTACGGTTAAGAACCTATTTGGCAACGGATCCTTGGAATTTAGCTTCTCGGTTGAACCGATGGGATGTTCCATGGTCCCACAAAAGATTTTTTTTTTGGCAGGGGGGTCAACAGCAACCACGAAATAGTGGCTAAACAATTACTATCAGTATGTTCCCGCAATCATGACTTAATTTGTTTTTGGCAAAACAGCTCTAGGTCCTTTGCTCAGGGATCCCTTGGTCTGGGTGATTTTCTACTCCACGGGTCGATTCGCGAGATTTCAAGTCAAGGAACTGGATGGAAGGTGGGTTTGCCCCAATCCCAAAAGGGTCCTTCTAGCTACGTTGTCCCCTCGTGGCGCGCAGAAATCCTCAGGGCGGGCTCCATGTCCATTTCAAATTCCAACCCTTTTGGTGTCGTTGTGTTTTCCCTGGGCTTTCGGTTAGGCTAATCTATTCAAACAAGCAGGCCCTGGCCAAAAATAAACGTGTGTGTTGAAGCAGGGATTGGCCCAACCCCGCTCATCTAGGTGGGCCTGCTTTGAAGGAAATAAACGAGTGTGTCGAGACTTGTTGAAGTAGGGGTTGGCCCAACCCTGCTCATCTAGGTAGGCTTGCTACCTGGTTTTACGGGATAGCAGCCCCAAAACGGCACACCAACATAGTCTGCAGGGCATGGTGCCGGGCCAAGGTGTTCAATCCGGATGACCAGCTGGAGCACACCATCCCCACCGGCCGGAACGAGGCAGCTGCGGATGGCACCCCGGCAAGCGACAAATAGGCAAGCCAGGGAAGTACATTCTGCCCAAGCAGGATGGAACGGGGAGGTGGGCTGGAGTTTGAATACCGTGGCACTTTGAAGCCATGGGAATCCATTGTTGGTTGGCATGGGGAAGCGTCAGTCCAGGGTTTCTTACGCTATTCCACGTGAGGGAATCCATTCAAAATGGTGGACAAGTCCCCAGCTAAACGATGTCCACCACAAGGTCCCCAATGAGAACTAGAAGCCAGGGCACCTTTGGAGTTCCATAAATGGTTCCATTTTCACTGTAGTGAAAACCCTCGAATTGCCCCGCTCCTTGAGGTTGTTGCATCCTACCGTGAAACCAAGCTGGAAGGTGCCTTACCTGCGAACCGTCAAACCAAGACACCACTTCCCAAAATAGGAGGTGGCTGAAAGCCAGGAGAGCCATGCTTCTAATTTTGCAGCTTGGGTCGCGCTCGGCATGTGTGTTTTGGAGAGAGGGTCCTGTGCCTGCCCTTATATTGTTGGAAGCGGTCTGTGAGATTGTTGGGCATGACTGTCTTCAGCCAAATTTGACAGCCTACCAGGGAAACCCAAGACCCTCCCCTTGGCCGAAACCCCAGTTGGCTGGACATGGACCTGGGGGTCAGATGCCACTTGTTCGCGCGCGCGGCCTGACTGCTCTTCGTGCTGAGGATGGGGCGACTTTGACTTTGACGACTTGATGTGATTTGCAGAGAGCCACGGTCAAAACTCATTGGCAGCTGAGGGATTAAGTATCTTTACAGGTACGCTGGATGCTCTATGTTGCAAGTAGGGGAACAAGGGGAACCTTATGTTTTACTCGAGGTTCCCCGAGGGCTTGTAGTTGAATGTGGTTGGCTCACGTGCAATATTTCAGGCAACCCGACGCCAAATGGGAGTTTTGACGGTCGCCCAGTGAAACACTGGGCTCGGCTGATGCCACAGCTTCAAGGGCGCCAGATTTTTCTCACGCAGGCGCCCCGAGATAACGTCGGCCAGGGCCTCTCGGTCCTCTCGGTTGTACTTTCAGCCCTCCTACTGTGGATGGACGAAATCCTGCACCGTTCAAGCCTGAAATGATGATTTCCGTTGTGGAACTCGCCGCGAAACATCCAGTATCACATGGAAGCTGGCCCCCCCCCCCACACCGACGATACCTCGCAACCACGCTGGCGCCACGGCTCTTGCCGTTTGCCGGTTAAACCCAACTGTCCCCTCGAAATGCCTTGGCAGCAAACCTTCAGACATATCAAACAGTCCTCAAACCGCTTCAAAAGTAGTCTTCCGAGCATCCCTTCAACACCTTCCAAAAAGAAGCTGGGTCATTTTGAAAGGGTGACAGTCGCCAGAAAATCCAACTGCGTGCTGGGGCGAAAATTTGAAAGCTTGAGACGAGACCCATATAAGGCCTTATTGAATCCTAGTGTGGATGGACGAAACCCTGCACTCACCTAAGAAACCATGGAAAGCCAATTTGTTTGGCATTCACCTGCTGAGAACGCCACCGCGTCCTTGACTTGCACAGGGGTTCCTTGAAGCATGCATCCAACAACCACTGAGGTAGGTCCTCTAAATCAGCTGGAAAAGGTGACGTTTTGAGCGGTCCAAAGGCATCTTTCGTGGGAACCTGTTGCAGGTCCTTCTGCCAGAAAGGCGCATATCACTATCCAAAGTTGGCCACCTGAGGGATCGCATTGCCAACAAAACTGCGGCATTCATGCTTGGCTTGGTCCTAGCTCTGAATGTTGATCTCGGAATTGTAAGCTTGGCAGATGCATGGAGTGTGTGTGTGTGTGCTTTACCATATCCCAGTGAAGACAAGGGACACCCTTCCCAGTCCCGCAACAGCAACACAGTGACAGACTCAGCCTGACCAGTGAGCTCCCGAGAACTATTCCTTTAGGGTTTCAATTGCCAAGCCATCAATCAAGGGCTGCTGGATGAATGCTACATCCACATGTTTTCGACATGACCCTAGCGATCGGATTTGAATTCACCCCGGGAATTCACCGTGATCGGCCCACGCAAATCGGCCCGCATCCCGCTTGGAGGCCGGGTCGACGGTTTACTCGGGACTCGTTAGGGCGCGGCCCATGCAGCGCGACAGCTCACAAAAGTCCGGTGGAGTCCAGTTGCCAAATGCCAAAATCTTCACTGCGTTTCTTGAAAGTTCAGCTACAGTTTGGCGGTCATGCGTTTAGCGGTTTTTGTTGCCAATTTGGAGGTAAAACGAGCCCGCGCCCTCCCCGACTTGAAGATCAGCAATCCTGGTCGGTGAAAAAACAGCTCAAATTCCAAGCATGTAACTTTGGATAGGGGCGTTTGCTTTGTGCCACACATATGCCCAAATAGTCTGCCGGGGAGATACCAAGGGTACCTTCTTTGGGGTGCGTGGTGCAGATTTGTCATTGTCAGGGGTTGGTTTGGGTTCTAACGGTGGACCTCCCTCAAACTGTGGACTTTCCTTTGAGTTTCCCGAAGCCAACCCCGAAACAACAATTTCTAGGGTGTCACCTTTTGTATTGTAAACAGAAGCCCCCTTTTTGAAGGGCACCATTAGCGCGTTCACTCAAAAGCCAGCCACAACCATTCCTCATGGGGTTCCTGGCCACCCGTTTCTTGCGGTTCCCTTTAATTTCCTCTTGAAACCAACGGCAGGGGTGTCTCCTTAAAACTGGGCACCTGACTGTAATTCAAGTGGGCCTTCATAGGCAAGCTCCACTTTTTTGATTCGACTCACCGACTTCTTTTCGCCTGAGGTCTGAGACCGGCGCTTCCAAGATGGAGGCGACTCTCAACCCCGTTCGGGGCTAAGATCGAAGGGGGAAGATGCGGGCGGGGTACTTCAGAGCAAAAGTAAGTTACGAGCGTAAGGTGATCGTGTGTTTGTGCGCGTGATTCCCAGGCCCTTTATTATAATACCCAAAGGTATAGGCTTAATTCCTGGGCTTTCCTTTTGGGGAATCCACCCAGGTTCTGGCTACAAAAGAAATTGTGACACACTGAACAATCCAGTTGAGCAGCAATCAATACCTGGGTAGATGAAGGTTGGGTAGAGCCCTGAATGCCAGGCTTTGATGGTGGCACCGACTCAGGGCCCAGAGCGAGCATTTAATTTGATGGCCTAATCAGCACCAGCTCTAGCCCAAATGTAAGAGGTGGGATTGAATCGATTCAGGGTTGGGTGCTTTCTTCTGTCGCCACCGCCATGTTCTGACCTTGTTCAGGAAACCAAACGGAGGCTCTTGAAACAACAGTGGGTTTAAACATAGGGGTTTTCTTGGGAGTAGGGTGTGTGTGTGTGTGTGTGTTTGTTTGATACCCCTAAAAAAGGGGAAACACACATTTGGGTACCATCAAAAAGACAAACCACATGTAAACAGGGAGTGAGTCGCCCTGCCCGAGGAACACTGTTTTTGTTAAAGGGCCCTTCTTGGGATTGTTGAATGTTCACCCGGCTTGCAATTTGTTTCTTGGACGTTGCAACCCAGGGAATGGTCTGGAGGCAGGCTGAGCGCACGGGCGATTTTTTGGCAGCTTTTTGACTCAACACGGGAATCCAGCTGAGGTCGATGAACAAGATGAGGACTGCCTAGGGGTTGTGCATTGCTCATGTTGGGTCACCCTCGCTACCTTTGACTTTCTCGCAAGACCATTCCAGCTGATAGTTGATTGCAGATCCATTATCCAGAGTCGGGGCATATCAGGGCAAGGGCAGCCGTTTCGATTGGGCAGTTTGCATTCCGCACATCATCGCATATGCGAGACACGCGTCAATATCCAAGATGATAGAACAACCAAAACCCTTGCCGAGCTAAATCAATACGCGCCTTACTCCCGTATGATCATGATCTCAAAGTACTGCAACTTCTAATTGTGCAGCCCCACATATAAATATATATATATATATATATATTTATACAACTATATATGTAGATACACATCTATATTAGTAACTATAAATATATACAATGTATATACAATGAATATGTTCGCCCCTTTGCGGCTCTCTAGGAGTTGCGGCGGCACCGGGAGGCTTTGCAGCGGCAACGCTTGGAGGTGGAAGAGGCGTCCCATGGCACTCCGTTGGCGTCTTTGGCTCACTTCCTGACTTCCTGGCCTTCAGGACCAGAGGGTCCAAGTACCTTCTAACGAGGTACTTAGACGCGCCTTTTTACCCCTCAGAAGGTACTTGAGAGGTATCCTGCGGAATCTTTGTAGGGAAGCCATGGTGAGGGTTGTTAGAACCCCCTACAGTACAGGTTTGTAGGACAACGGTTCCGAGCCACAGCCAATGAAGGGGTTTTGGCGGCCGGACTACCATCGCTTGTTTCGTCGGGCCTACTCAGCAATGCCAATCTTTCCCAAACATTCATAGAGTGTCTTTTTTGCCTTGATCCAAGAAGTATGCGCAAAGCGATGGTTTGTTGCTTTGTGTTGCTGTCAACCGCTGGGACGTGCAGGCGAGGCACAAGCAACGCGAGCAGGCTGGATGCTGGACGAGGTTTTGTGATCCTCGGGCTATTCCCCTCTGCAGGAGAGCCCAAAGAAGCAACGACCTGTATTTCGCAGGGCTTGGAGGAGACGATCTAAGAGCAATCGGAGCTTGCCCTTGTATTCGGTTTGCCCTAGGCAGATAGGAAACAAGGCTTGCTGACACCGGGTTGCCAGACTCAACTTTCCCTGTTTCAACTTTTTGCTTTGGTGTTGCTCCATTTCCCCTGTCACCATGTCGTGACTCGCGTTTGGGCCTCCTTTGTGCGCGCCATTAAACCAATCCCCAGCGCCAGGCAAAAGTGAAGCGACAACGAGAGTGGGAAGAGAGGCAGCGAAAGATCAAGGCGGCCGCTGCCTGAGCGAGCCTATGGCTTCCTGTGGCTTCTCAAATGAATCGAGGGAGGTTCCCTGCAACAACTCCACGTGCTGAAAAAGGGGCCCCTTTCTTTGCTCGCATGGAATTCCACTAGAGGCTGCTTTGTTTCTGTCCTGTGTGAATGTTTAGGTCCAATAAAACGGAAGGAACAAACACAAACAAATCTGCTATTCACACACATGTTAAGCTTTTTATCATTATGACTGGGATTGACGTTCTTTGCCCAATCAAACCGGGCCTCCTGCTTGGAATTTGTCTGTATATTCCCGTGATCCAGAACATGTTTGATGTATCACTTTTTTGTTTGGTGTACCCTGTGTTTTTTCTTGGATGACCGACATTCATATATCATCATGATGCCAAGGAACTGGACAAGGAGGAGCGAGAGATGCTCGGCTCCCCGGGTCTTTCTGCATGCCAGCAAGCGACATGGTGTTTGCGGGCATGGTGTTTGGCGCCTGCAGAAATGGTTTGCTCAGCAGAAAATTCGGAAGGCTCAGCATGGAAATTTGGTACCCCATGAATGATTCGTTCTGCTCGGAGAGATTTGCACCACTTGTTAATTTCCACGGAGATTTATTTGAGGTTCGGTCACTGGCCACGCTTGCGTCAGAATCCGTCAGAAAGTGGAATCTTCCTAAACGCAGTTTCCTGGCTCCTCTTTGGGGGGAGTTTCTTCAAGGCTGACCCAGAGGAGACTCTGACCTGGGTCAGCGTTCGATACGATGTTGTATCGTGCCCCCTTACTGACTTGATGATGTTAGTCAATATTTGGGGGTGTGTTTGTTGAGGCTACAAGTTTCGGGGTGGTTTCTGAAGGAACTCAACGAATC